CTGATAGGGAGATTGTTGCATCTTACGGCCACAAGACCTGATCTCACATATGCCATTCAGCAACTAAGCCAATTCATTGATGCGCCAACAGACAAACATCTCTCGGCAGCTCATCGTGTGCTGAGATATATAAAAAGATCTCCCGGCCAAGGCCTTTTTTATCCCACTGGCAGTGAACTACAACTCAAGGTTTTCTCAGATTCGGACTGGGCGGCATGCTCAGAAACTCGGAAATCCATCACTGGAAATTGTACATTCTTGGGACAAGCTTTAATCTCCTGGAGATCCAAGAAACAGGCAACGGTTTCCAGCTCATCCTCTGAAGCCGAGTATCGAGCATTAGCAGCCACCGTGTATGAAGTACAGTGGCTCACATACCTCCTCCAAGATTTGCAAGTAAAGACTACCAGGTCTGCAATAGTGTACTGTGATAGCAAGTCGGCGATTGCAATAGCTGAAAACCATGTGTTTCATGAGCGCACTAAACACATCGAAATCAATTGCCACATTGTTAGGGAGAAGCTTAATCATGGGCTAATCAAACTTCTATCGGTTTCCTCCTCAAACCAAGTGGCAGACGGGTTTACCAAACCTCTTCCGGTTGCTCAGTTTCAAACATTCATCTCTAAGCTGGGCATACAAGACCTGCATGCTCCAGCTTACGGGGGGGGGGGGGGGGGTTTAAATGATGAAGCAGCAAGCTCAGCTGATCAAGAAAGAAGACAACTCCAGGGGTAGCTTAGTCCTTCTTATCCCTTTTAGTTGTAACCACCTTTGGCGCCATTATTTTTCTTCCTCTTCCCAGTGTATATATGGTTCTTCTTTCTGCCTTCATCAATGAATAACACAGACTACTTTCTCTCTCTATCATCATGCCCTTTCACCTTTCTCATGTTCACTAACACTTCTCTGGCTCAGCTAATATAAGAACTAAGAAAAGAGTTGAGAGATGAAAGAAGAAAACTTCAGATTTTGAGAGTTCAAAATCAACAACTTAAACACCTGCCAACAACAAGGATGTTTGTAGGAGAGGATGAATTTAATAGCCTTAAACTATGTCATTAACAACTGAAATAAATTCAAGTTCGTAACCTTCGTAACAGATAACCATTACTCTGGGAATTAATTCTAAAATATAAAAATTGAAATATCATAATTAATACCTAGAATGGTACTCTGGAGAATGGTTCGAGACATTTGTGCTCGCAGGTGCCGATGTACACAAGTCAAGTCTTTTCAAGCTCATTTTAGGATTTGATTTGCACCCGTGTGCACGAGAGATCAGAGAGCCTCTATGCTCAATTCAACATGCCTCTAATATGGTGTTGTATATATAGTGGTGCAAACTCACTCAAACAAATATGAGACAAGTGCTTTTACAAAGCCTTTCCATTTGAAATCAATTTCTCATTCACCATTATCCGTTTTGAGCCTACAATATATATCAATCTCTATCTTACTACGAAGAACCAGAATTCACTTTGATCCGACCCAAATTAAAAGTGGACCGACATATATTTATACCACAAAATAATCATTTTCTGTGCCATTTTATACTAAAAATTCAACACCTTAAGAATGAAAGGTAGTTCGGTTGACTGGTTGAGCACTTTAGCGTCCCCATGTGAAGATTGGTCAGAAAATATGACCTTTTGAATTATATACTTCGTTTGGCTCTAAGTTATTTCTCATAGATGGCTCATGCTTGAACCAGTACCTTATTATTCAGCAATAAGGGTCAATACTATTAACCTCAACATTAAGAAATTATAAAATAAGTATAAAATTAGATACAAGAGAGTTGGAATATAACTTGAGAATGAAAAAGATGAGAAAAAATAGAAAATGAGTGTACTGTATAATTTTTTTTTTTTTGAATGCTACTAGCTCTATTACATTGTAGTATCTGTTCATATACTTTCTCAACCTACTGAAACACAAATGCTACTAGCTCTATTACATGCTACTAGCTCTATTACATTGTAGTATTTGTTCATATACTTTCTCAACCTACTGAAACACAAAGAGCTAATAACACCTCCACTGAGGCTCGAATTCACAACCTTCCAAATAGAAGTCCAACCCGGGTACCATTGAACCACATAGTCCTGGTACTGTATAATTTAGTTCAAAATAAAATAGTGATTGATAGAATAATACTTACAACACTTTATACAGTCATGGACCTCTTGGTCCCATACAACGTTGTAGTCAATCGTTATGCCATGGAACCGTGTTAACCATTCATGGTGAACACGGTTCCAATGGTGTTAGTACACCGTTATCTTTTTTTTTTTTAAATTAATTGCGTGACTTTTCTTCTTCATTTTCATATTTCGCGGTTTCACTTTAATTTGATGTGAGCAATGATTTCGAACATTCATAAATTATGAATTCATGCTTGCACATTCACTTTGGAACCATGCCTACACATTCCCGTCCGAAATCACGGACATTCATAAATTATGAATCCATGCATGCACATTCACTTTGGAACCATGCCTACACATTCACTTTGGAACCATGAGATTATAAATTTTCTGTTATAAGATTATGAATTTTCTGTTATGAAATTATGAATTTTCTGTTATGAAATTATGAATTTTCTGTTATGAGATTATGAATTTACATTACATTCATAATCTCATAACAGAAAATTCATAATTTAATAAATATTTTACTTTTATGCGATTATGAATTTTGTTATGAGATTATGAATTTACATTACTTTCATAATCTCATAACAGAAAATTCATAATTTGATCGAACGCGCGCTGTTAACAGCACATTAGCTATTTTTTTTTTCGCGTAAAAACGACGTCGTTTGGACTTGTGTTCACCATTCACGGTGAACACGTTTCCAGGGCATAATTTGCGACGTTGTAGTAATATGGGTTGAATTATGATTTTCTCGACACATTTGTCATCTCTATATGTTCAGGTTACCAACCATTTTTCAACTAATTTGACCAAATTTGACCAATTGATTCGAATAGCATTTTGAAAAAAAAAAAAAAGTGTTTTCTCCAAAAAGTTCATAATTAATAATTTAGAAAACAAAATAATTTTTGTAGAGTTAATTTATCAAATAGTTTTTTACAATCAGCTAATACTACTTCTTGATCAAAGCAACTAACTCAATCAGCTAACAACTAATTGTCAAACACTCTTAAAATATCACTCCATCAATTTGAGACAATTAACAAGCTAACTACTAATACAACTGTAAGATCAAATGATAGATTTTTGTATGCGTACATCTTGTGTGAGATTATCTCATGAAGAAGTGCAATACTTTTTATTTAAAATATAATATTTTTTTAGAGTTAATACCCAAAATCGTCCTCGACTATAGTGGTTTTTCTCAATTTCGTCCTAAACGACTTTGGTGACCTAATATCGTCCCAGACTTTTGTGTTTCACTCAATTTAGTCCCAGACTTTTGTATTTTTGCTCAATTTAGCCCCTCATTTGTTATTCTGTCTATTTGGTGTTAAATAAATAGACAATTCAATAATTTTAATATTGGCATCTCTTTACTCATAGACATGTAAACTGCGAAATTCCTTTTTTTTTACGAATTACTCCTAAAACTGCGAATATAAAATTTGATTTGCAGGTCCAGGAGTAATTCTGGGTGTAATTCGTACAAGAAAGAGGAATTTCGCACTTCACAAGTTGAAAGTAAAGAGAGATCAATATTGACATTACTGAATTGTCCCTTTATTTAACACCAATTTGACGGAATAACAAATGGAGGACTAAATTGAGCGAAACACAAAAGTCTGGGACGATATTAGGTCACCAAAGTCGTTTAGGACGAAATTGAGAAAAACCACTATAGTCGATGACGATTTTGGGTATTAACTTTATTTTTTTATGTATCAATAAAAATATTATGGTCCTGTTTGGTAACATAGTTAGCTTATTAGTCAATTTTGGTTTATTTGATTACTACTCCTTTCGTCCCATTTTACCTTCTTACTTTCGTTTTTAGTTTGCCCCAAAATAATGTCATGTTTTCAAAATTGAACATAACTATCACTCTACATTTCCTAATTTACCCTTTTGACTTTTGAAATTTCTAGAGATAAATACAATTGTACTTTGTACAAATAATACCTACTTTTGAGGGCAAAATTAAAAAGTTAGTAACATTTGTTATGTTGTATTAAAACCCGTGTAAAAAACAAATGAGACAATCAATTAGGGACGGAGGGAGTATTAACTATTTGACTTGGTTAAACAATCAATATAAGTGTTTGATTAATTAGTTTTTTTTGTACTAACTTATTGTTCCAAAATGCTAAAATTCAAAAAGCTGTTCAAATTAACTTTTTCGATCAGCTTTTTGAGAAAGTCATTTCGATCAGCTATCAGATAGCAGCTAATTTACCAAACACTTTTCTACAATCAGCTAATGCTATTAACTAATCAGACCCACTAACCCAATCAGCTAACAATTATTTACCAAACACCCTTTATATTTTAATTAAAAAAAATATCACACGTCTTATATGAAACGATCTCACTCAAAATAATTTTATAGAAGTGAAATACCGGATGCTCACATGGTCCATACAAATTGTATAAACCATATTTTGTATATTATAAAATAATGTACATTCAGTACAAAAATAATGTACATTGTATTCAGAGAATGTACATTATTTTTGACTGAGTGTACATTAATATTATATAATGTACATATAGTACAAAAATATTATACATTTAATATATTAAAAATGTACTTTTTATTAAGGTCCACATAACATTGTGTGGACCATGGTCCACATAATAATTTGCCCCGGACGCTATATCCTAAAAAGAAAAAGAAAGAAACAAAAATCTTACTTGGACTGTTCGGTAGAGAATATCGGGCCTAAAATAGCCTACTATGTGAAAGCCCAGCCCATATTCTTTTCTCTGAAGAACATAATACAAATCTTTAATGGAGTCCATCAAATTGCGTTTTCAGAATTCCAGCTTCAGATCAGCATTTTCGTTGTCAAACTCATCTAGGTATGCAAAACCTCCTTCTTTCTTCTCAATTGGCATCAGATTAAATCCCATCATTTCTGATTTTTTGTTTTAATTTATCGAAAACAGAGTTTACGCAATTTTAATTATTTGTCGTTAAATATATTTGATGTAAGTGATTGAAATAGGAAAAATGGATGGGAATATACAGAACATCAAAAAATGGATTGTGTTTTACCCGATATATATAAATTCGAAGAAGACGATAGCAGAGGGAAGGCGAATCAGTGTCAGCAAAGCTTGTGAAAACCCTACTTGTGCTGAGATTCAAGATTGTTGCAATCACCTTAAAATACCCAGCGCTATTGAGGTCTGTGCACTTTTTCCTACCCGTTTTTTTCTTTTAATACTTTGTTTAGAGTCTAACCCGGGGCTCCGACTAATCACAGAATGAGGGAGCTTCATTTATTTGATTGTTATTCATATTTATTTTGCCCCTTTTGTAGAGTTTAATGTGTATTATTTTAGCTCAAATGCATTGAATTTTCTGAAAATTATGGAATTCCAATGCTCATTGCATTTGTTAATTGGGAGCAGATGTTAATTTTATGAGCTTCTACTATTTAATTAGGCATTATAACTCTTAAATTTGATAAATGCTCGTGTATTTAGTGTAGAGGAGCTTATGGGTTATGGGTTGTGATTATACATTTGGGTTTGTGTTAACAGATTGATAAGGCATATCCACGTGACTTTATGCAAAGAGGGAGAGTGAGAGTTTTGCTGAAAAAGGAAGATGGAACTTTGTATAATCCAGCCATTTCTTCCAGTAAGTATATGGAAACTTTCCCCTGCTCAGTTGTAATGGTGTATGCTTAAATGGCTTGCTCAAACATGTTTTTTATTTTTATTTTTTAATACCTGTCACATAAGCAATCATGGTACACAGTCGTGTTTGTGTGTGTAAAATGAATGGAATTTCATCAATCAATGCTGCTTGAGTATTGCATGTTCATCTTTCTTGACTTATCTCTCATATAACCTCCATTATCAATTTATACATGACAAGTTTGATTTGCAAATATTAAATATCTATTAACAACCACTCATTTTTAGATAAATGTAGAAGTAAAATAAAGTGAGGATGGAGCCAGGGAAATCATAAAATGGATAGTAATAGACTAATAGACTAATGGCTCATAGATGTTTACAAGGATCAGTTAACTGCTTAGATATTTTTGTAGTTTGTAAATGCAGAAAAAATGTTCTGGTTTCTTGTCAGGAAGTGCTAGAATGATACTCTAAACATTGTAGTTGTGGGTTATATTCCTATGGAAAACATTATTATATTGGCTATAAGCATAGTCATAGTTGGGGTTTCTGTAAGTAGCATCCATATGGTCTTCAATTGCACCTATCTTTCTGCTTTCAATAATATTTACTTCTCAGAAAATTAATTAAAATTGAAATCCTACCCATTAAGTTCTTCCAAATTGTATGGAAACCATCATAACATGTTAAATCTGTATTCTACAAGCTGGATAGTCAAATAAACCTGTATTTTGCTCCATGGTAGTGTGGTTATTTGAAGCCAATGTGGTTACTTTAGTTCTTTTAGTACTAAACTATTTACAACATGTTTGGTTCACAGAATAAGCCTAGAATGGAATAGCATTCCTGGGAATAGACATATTCTGTTGTTTGATAAATCATTTTATTCTTGGGAATAGTATTCCTCGGAAACATTCCCCTTGCAATTCTAAGAGGTGCCTAGTATTAGGCTATTCCTCAATTCTCAATATTGTCAATAATTGGTTTCTTCTTATTATTATTGTTGTTGTTGTTGTTTGTTAATCCCTCATTTGCCCTTGCCTAGTATTAGGCTATTCCTCAATTCTCAATAATAGGTTTCTTCTTCTATTATTATTATTATTATTATTATTATTATTATTATTATTCCCTCATTTGCCCTTACCTATTATGCATTAAAAATGTTTTTGGGGGAAATCATCCTTATTTACTATTCATTTAATAAAATATTAATTGAAATTCCTTGTCTAGTAGGGATTTCAAAATCTTGGGTATTTGAGTATTTCAACTAACAAAGAAGCCTTATTCCCACCTTGCTCTCACTCTATATTTGTAATGGTTTTAGTGTAAAAGAAAGGAGCAAATATTGTAGGAGATAGAAAGCTTCTGCTTTCTGCAAAGACAATATTACCAATTTACCCCGTCTTTCTTTCTTAATCTTGTAAGTATTACATTGCAGGGAAACAGCTAATGATCCATGTTGCAGAGTTGGTACCTAGACATCCTAATAGGACCAAGAAGCAGGAGCCAGCATCCTCCTCGGCAGCTGGTCCTTCCAAATCTGGAAAGGGTGGGAAAAAGAGGAGATAGTTCTTCCAATGGTGAATATACAACTGAAGCAAAAGGGTGTGAAAAAGAAGGGGTTGTTCCAGTAGTTAAATATGCAACGGAAGAGAGTTTCTATTAATTACTTTTAGACTTGGATATATAGACCTGACAAGACCTGTACCATTTTCAAGCTCAAGCAGAATATTTCTTTGTTAACATGGTTTGACTGTGACTTTGCCTTTTCTATTTGCTCTAGCGAGGGCTGCGAGGTATACATTTTTGGACCAATATAACTGAGTTTTCCGAACTTCTTTGCTTGGTTGGTTTTAACATTTGAATTGAATGAAAATGAATCCAATTCTTAATGCTCAATGGTTTTTAAATTGAGTTAATACCTCCATTAGTGATATACCAGTCCTGGTCATCCGACTTTAAACGACCATGAGTAGTCTGCCGTCTTTTCTAAAATAACCACCCGTGGTCCTTCCATCAAGATGGTGTTAAGTAGATGTTAAATGTGGAGTTAAAGTTGGTATTTCCCATTTCTTTTATCTTTAAGGTCGTCGTTCAGCACTAGGTCACCATTTTCTTCCAAATCTCATAGCCCTAATATACCGTGTGAAGTGAAGCTCGTTGTTTCGTTACGATTAGGAGGTGCAATGTTGGAGAATTTAATGACAGAGTATGTATATGTGGAAACAATATGAAGCTTTGTACTTCATGGACAAATCAAAATCTAGGGCATAGGTATTTGGTATACTCCAATGAAAGGGTAAGCAAAAATTTGATTTTGTTGTTTACTTTTTTTTTTTTTTTGCAGAATTTTTTTGGTTTAATTCACAATTGTTTTGGATTCAAAACTATTGTGAATTGTTCGTTTTTAAAAATTGTGAATTTGGTCAAGGGATTAAAAATTCGATTTTGTGAATTCGGTCAGGGGATTAAAAAATTTTCGTTTTTCGAGTGGTTCGATCCTCCAATGTGTTCAAGACAAAAAGTGATAATTCATGGCTTGCTAAAGAGGATAAACAAGAATGAACAACAAATTGAACGGTTGACTGGGCAACTTGAAGAAATTCGATCAACGCGTGTTGAACTGGGCATGAAGAACATTTACATAGGGTTGCTATTACTGGTTGTAATACTGTTGGTTTTTTTTTTTTTTTTTTTTTGGAATTGTTTATGTTTATATAGAAAAAGTTGTATGTGCTAATAAGATTAGGATGTTGTCCTACAATTACCATTGATGTGTAATGTTAGAACTATTAATGGCAGTGCTAGTGTTAGAACCATTAATGGCAGTGGTAATGTTAGGAGTGGTTATGGTAATGCTATTATGGCAGTGATGTGGGTTGTATGAATTTAGTTGACAATGATTATGGTAATGGTGTTATGGACATGGTTATTATTATTAGTTGGCAATGGTTAATTTTGTTAGGGGACGGATATTCTCTATTACAGGTATTTTTGCTAAACTCTCCCCTAGAGCGACTAGGGTGTATTCTTCTTCCCTAGTTTCTCCGGCTAGGGTTTCTGCTATTTCGAGGTTTCCTACGGTGGTTTGCACCAATTTTCCTACTACGTTCACGTGGGCTTGGTTGTGGTTTGAGCACGATGGCATCTGAAGAGGCGACGGACGGTGTGGAGGGTATGACTGCGAGGTGGGCCGACTTCGGCCTTGACGAGGACGAGGCAGAATTTGCGCCGGAGGGGGGGGGGGGGGGTGGCGTGGGCGAGTTGGGTGACGGTGGAGAGGAGACGTGGGAGGTTGTGGGGAGGTTCCTCACGACCAAGTTGGTTAAGCCGGAGTTTATGAGACAAGTTTTGGCATCCGTATGGCAACCGGTGCGGGGTGTGCAAGTCACAGAGGTGCAACCCGGACTGTTTTTGTTTGTTTTCTATCACAAAACGGATGTGGATTATGTCATTGAAGGAGGGCCTTGGGCTTTCGAGAATAACACGCTTGTCTGCTGGGAGGTGAGGGCGGGTACTGTGCCTGGGGATGTGTTGTTGAACACGGTTGATATGTGGGTTCAATTGCATGAGTTACCGATGGGATACACGTCGGAGACGGTGTTAGAACAGGCAGGGAACTTCCTTGGGACGTTTGTAAAGCATGATGTGAGGTTTGTGGGAGCCCCATGGTTAACCTTTTATAGAATACGAGTATCCATAGCGGTTGATAAGCCGTTGCGGAGGCGCATGAAACTGGTTAAAAGGGACAAGTCAACATGTTGGGTGACCTTCCGATACGAACGACTCCATAAATACTGTTCGTTTTGTGGAGTAATAGGTCACGTGAATACCTTTTGTTTGAGGGCAAGAGAGAGCAACATGCTGTTGGAGCTTTATCCGTTTGCAGACCTGCGGGCGGGTGGTAGCCGGGGATCACCCAGGGCAGTTGGAGAGAGCTGGTTAGTGCCCGTAGGAGGGAAGCCGAAGCCGATTGTGGATGGGGGTGTTGGTGGCGGGTTGGGTGCAGTGGCGGGGGGAGTGTGGAGGGAGGTGGTCGGGGCGGGTCTCCGGTCCGCATGGGTGAGTGAGAGGAGCGGGAGGTGGTGGCAATTACAAAACGCCGCTGTCAGGCCTTGGGAGGCAGTGGAGGAAGTCCAGGATCGAACGATGTGGCTATGACCGGTGTGTCAAAAAACTTGTGCGTGGCGGGAACTGGTTCTCAGTCACGCCCGTCATCATGAGTACGATTAGCTGGAACTGTCGTGGCTTGGGCAATCCACGCGCTGTTCTGGAGATTGTGGGTCTTGTGTCCAGTAAGAAGCCAGATTTTGTATTTTTAATGAAAACGAAGGTGGGGCGAGAGCACGCAGAGAGGCTCCGCATCAAGATTGGTTATGAAGGTTTGTTTTACGTTGATAATGTAGGTTTGAAAGGGGGATTGGCGTTACTTTGGAGAAGGAATAGCACAGCCAGACTCCTGATCTTCTCCAAGAACCATGTGGATATAGAAGTGCAGATGGGAGCCGAGAAAGTGTGGCATATGACGTGTTTTATGGCTTCCCGAAATGGCATAGAAAAAGGGACTCATGGGCTTTGCTGAGTGCATTGAGTGGCAGGTCCCCGCTCCCTTGGGTTGTGATAGGAGATTTCAATAATCTCCTATTTCAACACGAGAAGAGAGGGAACAACCTACACCCGGAGAGTCTACTCCGCGGGTTTGGGGAAGTTATCGACGAATGTGGCTTGAGGCAGTTACCTATGAGGGGGCATCAGTTCACATGGGAGCGGAGTGGTGGTACGAAAAACTGGGTAGAGGAGAGGTTGGATAAGGTGCTGGCATCGTTAGAATGGAGTGGTATGAACGAAGGTGCTGGTGTGGAAAATATTCTGACCCGTAATTCGGATCATTCGACTCTCTTCCTTAATGTTAATGCATTGCGCATGCAGCGGGATAGAGTTCCGAGGGGTTTCAAGTTCGAGATGGCTTGGCTCCTGGATGAGGGATGTAGGGATGTGGTTGAGTCTGCCTGGCAAGATGGGAGGAATGAGGGGTTGCTGAATTGTCAGCAACATTATGGGGACAGGTTGATGCAGTGGGGTGGTGACCACTTTCACAAGTTTGGGGACCGCATGAAGCGACTGCGAAAGGAGTAGGGCTTGATCAGGAACAGAAGGGACCCGGCTGCGCTAGCTGAGTTCCAAAGTTTAAACGATCAGATCAGCCAGCTGGAGGCCTAGGAGGATGTATTCTGGAGGCAACGAGCCAAGCAGCACTGGCTTTGTGGAGCAGATGCGAACACGAAATTTTACCACAGGTATGCCTCTGCCCGTAAGAAAAAGAATTTAATTGCTAAGCTTAAGAATGATGTTGGGTTGTGGGTTGAGGGGAAAGGTATGAATGCAGTTATCTTGGAGTATTTTAATACGATTTTTGCTTCTAGAAATTCTGTGTGTGAAGATCCGCTATTTGATAAGTTTGCCCCTCGTGTGACGCATGAACAAAATGTTGCCCTGTTGCGTTCCTATGATTCTGATGAGGTTAAAACTGCGGTTTTTTCCATGTTCCCGGATAAAGTACCTGGCCCGGATGGAATGAACCCGGGTTTTTACTAGCATTTTGGGTAGTGGTTGGGGAGGATGTGTCTGCTTTTGTTCTGAATTGTTTGAGCTTGGGGGAGTTTCCCGCTGGTTTGAATGATACCAATATAATCTTAATCCCCAAGAAGAATGCGCTTGAGACAGTAGCTGATATGAAGCCAATTGCTCTTAAGAATGTTCTGTATAGGGTGATGGCCAAAATGATAGCTAATCGGATGAAACCACTCGTGGGAGACATAATCTCGGAGTCCCAGAGTGTGTTTATTCCTGGGAGGCTTATAACGGATAATATATTAATAGCAGCTGAGGTGGGCCACTTTTTGAATAGAAAGCAGAGTGGATTGACAGGTTGGGGGGGGGGGGGGGGGGGCTCTAAAGTTGGATATGGCAAAAGCCTATGACAGGATGGAGTGGCCCTTTATTAAAAGAATGCTTGAGGTGCTGGGGTTTGATGAGAGGTGGATTAAGCTGATTATGATGTGTGTAACTGCAGTCACATACAATATTACGGTAAATGGTGCGAGTGGTGGACAGGTAAATCCCACCCCGGGTCTCAGACAAGGGGATCCTCTTTCTCCCTACTTATTTATTATTTGTGCTGAGGGGTTATCCATGCTGCTACAGAAAGCTCAGATTGCAGGGTCTATCCATGGCTGTAGAGTGGCCAGGGGGGCTCCACCAATCTCTCATCTTTTCTTTGCAGATGACAACTTGTTGTTCTTCAAAGCAAATGCCCAGGAGGCTAGCGTGGTAAAACATTGTTTAACAAGGTATGATAAGCTATCTGGACAGATGGTCAACTATCATAAATCAAGCGTTTGATTTCGCAGAAATACCCCGGCTGATGTAAGGGAGGGGGTGGCGTGGTGTTTGGAGGTAGAACAGGCCCCCAACTTTGGTAAATATCTGGGACTGCCTTCGTTTGTGGGAAGGAATAAAAGGACGGTTTTTTCATATGTGGAGGATAAGATCAGGCAAAGGATTGGTTCGTGGAATAAAAAGCTGTTATCTCAGGCTGGTAAAGAAGTGCTTCTGAAAAGCGTGGCTCAATCTATGCCTACGTTTTCCATGAGTGTTTTTTTGCTCCATAAGACTGTTTGTATGTCTATTGAGAGAACCATGAACAGGTACTGGTGGGGGAAAGGCTCAGATAAAGGAATTCACTGGAAGTCTTGGGACAAGTTGTGTATCCCTAAGAGGTTGGGGGTTTGGGATTTAAGGATCTATGTGCTTTCAATTTGGCTACGCTAGGGAAACAGGCCTGGCGTTTTCTTACTGATCTTGGATCTCTAGCTGCGAAGGTATACAAAGC